GATCTGAGGATTCTTTTCCATTGGTATCAAAGCAATCAGCGTGTGGTCGAGCTCTTGAGGGAAACTACCTGCTTCAAGGTACCCTTGTAATTCTGTCATCACTGCATCTCCCACAATGTCCTAATTTTTATGAGAAAACAGAGCAGACATTCCATCAGCTCCAAAGGCTTTTAAAGGCCCCGTCGCTTTCAAAGCCGCCAAAATTTCTTCCCTAGAGAAAGTTTTAGCAACTCTTCATTCATAGTTGCAGTAACTATCTGTGGTACAGCTTCTACCACTTCTAGGGGTGGGCATCGGTTCAGTCTGGACCGAATCGAACCAAATTTAAAGAATCACGGTCCAACAGTGAAAGATAACTTAGGACCAAGGACCGGACCAATAGTGCATTCGGTCCATTTGGTCCGCTTTGATCCGGTCCAAATGTAAATTCGGTCCACTTTTCTTCAGTATTTATAAAATTCATAGGACCATACCATATTATATTCGATTTGGTGTGGGTCTGATCCAAACACCGATTCGGTCAGGTGTGGTTCGGTGTAGACCAACCCATTGCCCACCCCTAACCACTTCATTTGAACTTACTCTTGCTCTCAATGTGTATAACTTCTTGTAGAATTGCAATATGCAGCCACATACCTCTTGTTGCCCCTGGGAGTTCCTTCCATCTTAATGTTTTAGCTTTCAAATCATACTTTTGGCTTTCCTTTCTGAGGCTCGTCTGTGAAAATATTTTGTATTTTTATCACCATGTTGGAGCCATTAAGTTATGGATTGTTGTTTCCATATCAGTTCCTCTTGAAACAAGATTTCCTCTAGCTCATATTCAATGGTCCTTCTTTATTCTAGGATACATTATGTAATCTGTCACTTTTCAATTTTCTCTATTGCTCTTTTAGCTTGAATTCTTTGAGCTCTAAGGCTACCAAAGATTTGTCTTCTCCAGCTATTCAACTTTTGCTCACAGCTTTTAAGTTTCCCCATCACTTAGCCACCACCATTCACTTCCCAACCCTCCTTGATCACATGTTTGCAATCTTTATGTTCTTGCCAGGAAGCTTCAAATTTGAAATATTGACTGCATCTCACTACCTCCACTAGAACATTGCTTTTCAGCAGAATACGATTATGATCAGAACCACACCTCAGAAGATTATAGACCCCTGCTCCTGCATCTAGATAGAGCAGCCTCCGAGATTCTGAAGCCACCATCATGTCCAGCCTTTCTTCTAGGTAGGTCTCATCCTTGTGATTGTTATCCCAAGTATATGACTTACCGTAATAGCCTAAGTCCTCCAATTGGCAATCATTGAGTGTTGTGTTGAAACCTTCATTTTCATTTTCATTTGCTGGGTGTAAACCATTCTTCTCGACATAGTTTTGTATGACATTGAAATTGCCACAACACACCATGGTGTGTCTGTTAGGTCTATGAAGTATCTTACAGATCCCAGGTCATATGGTTATTCCCCTGTTCTGGCCATCCGTATATCCCAGTCAATCTCCAAATCTTTCCCTCGTCATTTATACACATATCAATATAGTTTGTTGAGTGTCCCTTCACCTCCAGATTGACACACTCTTGCCATATAGCACTAGCAATCCACCTACTCTACCAACAGATCCCACACCAAAACCCTTATATCCCTGCAACTTTCCAACTACTTCCTCCAACTCTTTTCCCTTCTTTTTTGTTTCTATAATGAAAGCCACCCTAGGGTTTTGTTTATGGATCAATCGACTCAGTTTCATAATTTTCACGGGTTTCCCAAACCCCAACAACTGTAACTTAAGTAACTCATTGAGTTGGGCGTCCCTGCTCCTTTGTAGGGTCTGCCACTTCTCCGTTCATTCCATCTTTGTTTGTTTGTGTCGTCATCCATTGGTTTTCAGTGAAGTTTAGCATTTTCTTCTTCTTAGTGATCAAGGATTTCTCACCTTCCCCTTCATTAACTAGTGTTGTCGTTATTTTCTTATGTGTAATATGAGCCATTGTTACAGGTCTTTGTGATGCATACCTGTCATCTTCACACCCTATGAGTGCTTCTACCTACTGGCTTACCTTCCGCACTTCTCATCACAAAATTTTGCAAGGATCCTTCTTCCTTTTCTCACTCTTTGATTTCACTGTCTCTTGTATCTTCTCTTTCTCTTTTTACTGCACATGATATTGTTCTACTTGTATTTTACTCTCCTCTTATTTCAGAACCATGTCATGATCCGAGTTTGATCTAATGCTTTTCATTTCAAACTTCTACCTATAGGAATCCCAAACTTTTGAATCCTCCTTCTTTGTCGTATAGGAGAGCAAGTTCCTAGGCCTTGGAGCTGTAACTCTTAGCTCCTGACCAAAGGGATCAGTTTCCGATTTTTCTTTTCATCTTGCATCTCAGTTTTAGATGACCAATCCTGCCACGTGAATAGCAAAACATGGGGTATTTTCTCATACTTCACTGGGTACTCTACCAGCTTCCCATTGATATTTAGCTTCAACTTCTTTTTTTGAGGGTTGTTGATTGTTAGATGTGCTCTAAGCCTCGTAATGCGAAGGCCCTCCATAGCATACTTTATTTCTATCATTTGTGTCTTAAAATGGGAATGCAAATAGCATATCCCCCAGATCAATGATCAGTCGACCCATTCTTAGCTTCCAAGCTTTTTCTAATGCAATCTTCATTGCTTTTATGTTGGGTTCTTTTTCAGCTACCAAACGGCCGATCAACTCTATACGTCGAATAGCCTCCAACCTTATTACATCAACATCAGAATCCTTTACCTCCAGTGGCTCTTCATCATCTTCCAGCAGAGAAAAACCAAGTAACCCTTGCAGAATAAGTACTCCTTACAGGTCTAGAAATCCAATTGCCGGTCACTTCTCAGGAAAAAAAAATCAGAAATCTCGGAAAACCCCTAGGGTTTCCGCCGCTCCGTAACCCTCGCTAAACGATAGAATTCTTGTTCGTATTCTCTTTTGTTATCCATGACAGTGTTATACAACAACAACTTGTTGGATATGAAACCTCGTCATACTTATTTACGAAAATAATAATCGTATTAATTAGTCTGTTATTAAATATTCGTATATTTATATTAGGGTTAATACTCTAGTATGGCACGAAGTTTAGCGTTAGTGACAATTCTGGCCCCATTTTTCAAATAAGACATTTATGGCCCACTTTTGAAATTATTGGACAAATTTGGCCCGACGTTTGGATTGACTGTTAAAATTGACGGTCAATGACTTTTTTCGTGAATGACTATGCTGAGATGGCTATGATGTGGCTGCCACATCATTATTTGACAAGAAAAAAAAATTAAATTAAAATTGAAAATTAAATATATAAAAAATGTGAAACTAAAAATCCCTAAAACAACTCTCTCTATCCTTACTCCACATCCGCCGTCGCTCTCCGTTCAGATTCCGTTCCAAAATCAAATCCCATCGGATTGGGCTACGGGAAGAGAGGAGCAGGGATGGATTTATTATAGGTTGGTATTGGGAGAATGAATTTGGGAGAGCTAGAGGTTATCCAAGTAATCAAATTCGAGAGTGCTTGGAGATCCCGAGTTCCCTGATGGCTTTCACTCCCTTGCTGGCTGGTCGGGTAGGTTGGCAGGTGATGCCTTCTTCTCTTCCTCCAATCTTCTTCTCCGGGAACTCAGGATGGACTGGTGCGACGGTGATTGGAGGCGGAAGAGACTAGTGCAGCAGTGGTTGGATGCGGGAGAGGAAGGACCGAATGTCGCGGCGGAGTAGACATCATCGCCCATCACCGCCATCTTGGCGATGACGCTCACCGGGCTCTCGTAAGTCTGCCCCAAAACCCCATTCACATTGCCGATCAACCCTAGAATCAGATGCGCCGGGCAATCGTCTTGGGTCACGCCTTAGTTGTAGATCCGCGAATCCTCCTCTGTAATCAGCACTACCCTGGTGGCGCCTTGTCTCTCCGGGATTAGTAACAGCTCGCCATCGAATATGAAGAAGAGGCAGTCGATGGGAGCAGAGAGATTCGGGGCTCCCCAGTGCCCGCTTCTCTCCGACTTCTTTGCTCGACTCTCCGGCTTGGTATTTGTTCATTTTGCATACTTTCATTTGGGGATTTATTTATCCCACTGCCATTGCCCATCAATTCATGAACGAGGAAGAGGAATAAAAAGCAGAGCAAAGGAATTGGGATTGAAGAGGCGGAGGGTCGATTTGAGAAGAGAGAACCTGGAAGGTTAGGAGGAGAAATAATGTTTTTAATTCTTTTTTCTTTTTAATTAATAGTAAAAATGAGGTGGACGCCACCTCAGTATAATATGTTGAGTAACTAACGGAAAAAATCGTTGACCATCAATTTTAACGGTCAACCCAAACGTCGGGCCAAATTTGTCCAATAATTTCAAAAGTGGGTCATAAATGTCTTATTTGAAAAATGGGGCCAGAACTGTCACTAACGCTAAACTTCGGGCCAAACTAAGGTATTAACCCTTTATATTATGAAAAGAGAAGAAAAGTCATTTCAAAGGTTTCCTCGTCCCAGTACTGTCCCGACCTAAGGCGCCCTACCTATAGTACCTATTGGAATGTATAGATAGTGGGACACCAAACAGAATTATTGGAAACCATCTGTGAGCAGCAAATCCTGTAATTTGAACTCAGACAACACGAATAAACGACAGAGAATCGGATCATAGCCCTAATACCCATGGCAACGAAACTCCTATAGCCGTGAGCCAAACCCCTTTCACTCTACATAATAATACATCTTTAATTTGCACATCGTCGATCACCTATAAAAACGTCTCTGGGGAATGCAAGTTTCCTCATCATCAATTTCATCATCATCATCAAATCCCCAAAACGAAAGCGAGAAGAAATATTTTTAATTCCGTTCCTTCCAAACGAAGTAAGTAATTAAGCACCAATGGAGACGGCTGCATCAGCAGGAAAGGTACACTTAATTGCAGCAGCAGCAGTCGCCGTCCTCTTCTTGTTGCTGGCCGGGACGCCGTCGATGGCCGACGACATGGGCGACTTCGACGTGGTGAAGAACGCCACCTGCAGCAGCGACAGCGCCGACGACTTGGGATTCTGGATGGGCATGACGGGTCTCCTCGGAAAGCTTGTCGGGGAAACCCCGAAACACAAGGACAAGGACGGCGGTTTTAGCTACACGGGGAATACCGAGTTCGGGCCCAAAGGAGAAGCGACGGCCACGTGCGTGAAAGGGAAGGACGACGTTAAATGTGGCACGTGTGTCGGTTTCGCCGTCGGCCGAGTCACCAAGGAATGTTCGGGTAAGGCTTCTGGCAGCGTCGAGCTGAAGATTTGCCAGGTCAGCTTCAACAAGAAGTGATATACAGTGTACACACATACATATATGGCCAACTCTCCCTTTGGAATTCTCCTCGTATCTACGGTTTTGATCCATTTTCATTATGTTCCCCGGCCATGTAGTTCTACTTTTGATTCTCCTCTATGAAGTTTTACCGGAATATACCTACATATATATGATGATTTATTATATTGAAGACAGTAAATTTTCGTTTATGAGTTGGTAGAGAGGTGGCAAAATGGATTGTGTTCATGAATTAAATTCCACGGTCTTTTGGCCGGACGTAGTTTCAGAAATTGACTATTTGATTTTAACTGATGTTATCCGTTAACATGCATGCGGCGATGGCCGGAGGTAGGTCAACAACCATAATAATATGATGGAAAGTCGTCATTATCTCATTGCATTACAAAAGAAACAGTAAAATATAAACACTATAATGGACAATCCAAATCAAGTCATTAGCCTTAAATATAGCTGTTATTGCCATGCACCATGATGCCCCGAGAGTGAACATGAAAAAACCAAAAGAATGCTTACCTGGCCCCAATTCTCGATGGTAAAAATGAAAGCCACCAAGAGATTTCATAAGAAAAACCCAATTTGGATTGCCCTTAGACCAAAAACCACAGTGACACCAATGGCGATGAACCCCTGGCTGAGAAAACAAAAACGAGCAATCTCCAAATCAAGTCGATGGAATGCATCGGCCAGTTTTCTTTTTATAAATAGTTTTGTTAATTAAAATGGCAGGGGGAAAGAAATACAAAGCAAGCAATCTGCTGTAGATATCTCATATACATAAAAAGAAAGAGGCAAGCTATATATGCCAGGAAGCACCAACAGATCATAACTTTTATCAATATCCACCACTGTGAAATCCTACCAAATCGCTCCTAACCACTCTGCTACACTAAACACACAAATGACTTACAGCTCTTCAATCTATGTAAGTCAATCGTCATGAACCCTCCCCATTATCACGATTCCTATCCTTCTCGACAGACGACAGCAAACGCACTGATTGGTTCACTCTTACTCCTTCTTCGTGGCAGCTACATGGCATTTTGCATTCAGTGCACAATAATTCAAACAATCATTCATTGCTGCAATTTATGGCTTGGGGTAATATCACTTGAGTCATAATACAAATTTACATGAAATGAAAGAAATGATCATTATAATAGCTTTGTGAAATTTAGAGTACCAATGGCGATTCCTCTCTTCTCCTCGGTGGCTTCGTCAATAAAATGAGATTGATGAATATCTCTACCAACGCATTCTATATGATTATAGTATGTCCTTTTGTATAAACAATTTCTGCCTTACACATTTTCACATGGCAACTCCAAGAGTTAACTTGTTGGGGCTCTCCTCTAGGTAAACAACTGGTATCAACATCAGACATGAAAACAAAAATTGTTTTGGTTGAGATACTATCAGGATCTTGTGGTGGTCTGAAGAAGGCTAAACCTTTTCTCATGCATTGTCAACCCACAATCAATTTGACGTGGGTCATTAATTACTCTCTTACCATCTAAATTAAAGAGGAAGCTCAGGTTAGCCTCTTTTATAGCTTAACTTGACAATTTCTTAGAAGAGATACAATCACGATTCACAATTCTAGAACAACCATCTCATCTGATAATACATCTGGAGAGACGGCAATGGTTGAGCGTTTAGTAGTTCGGGAGCCTAGGACACTGTTTATCATTAATCAATTGAAAATTCAACCTAGAAGATCAATCAAATGAACTGATGTTAAGAGATCACATATTACAGTCAAAGAAACTACATAACCCACCAGTCAGCTCTCCAAGCAAGAACACTCAAACTTTCAATATTTACCCATTGGAAAATTTCTTTGCGTAACAATATAGGTGGAAGAGGTTAGGCGGTTGTCGAGTCCGATGGGAAGGTTTGGAGAGACGGTGATGGTTGAGCGTTTAGTAAGTCGGGACACCATTTACACTCATTTACATTAGTTTCACCTTTTCAATCCGCATTCAACAAACCAAAATCACTCGAACGAGCGGATGATTCCGTTGGGGAGCCTGTTGTACCAGTCGAGGCATATGCCGGAGAACGTTGACGGGAAGGTTCTGCACATTGCCGCGTTGGAATTGGTTTGGAGTTGCATCCTAAGGCAGAACGTGCTGACGTGATCCTCTGGGTCGGTTGTCCCATTATAAGTCGGGAGGGCGGGTGGCATTCCACTTAGGTGTTCTGCCATGATTTCCGCGCTTAGTGGTTGGTGGAGGACTCTCCGTGGCGGGTGAGGGCGGTACTGCGGAGACAAATGTTGCTCCAGGAAACTGAGGTCCTCTCTGGGGCGCGGCTCCGCTTGTCGCGCCTCATCCGCGGGTGCCGCGCTCGGTATTGGTTGTTGCAGGGGAATAGGGTCTGATGCTTCACCGGCCGCCTGTATTAGCGCGCTGTGCTCCGTGGGGGTTGGTGGCGCGGTCTCCTTGCTCATCATGAGCGCTATGACTTGGTTCATCTTCTTTTGCATGTCAGCTATGCCCTCATTTTGTTTGGCCATTTGTTGCCTCATCTCCTTGGCTGTCAGCTCAGGCTCCTCCTCTTCGATGAGCACCGCGTTAAGGTTGCTGGTTTTTGCGTGCTCCCTGGGGTTTGTCATCGCCTTGATGGGCGTTGCTTCGTCGAGGTTGTATTCCGCCATTGCTTGGTTTTTATACCTGCTTCTCTGCGGCCCCACGGTGGGCGCCAATTGTTTGAGTCTAACTGAGTGTAGGAGTGAGACTCTGTGGAGGTGGGGAGAGAAGAATTAGCAAGGTGAGTTTGCAATCAGTCAATGGTGAAGAGAAGGGGAAGGAGGTTGAGAGAGTCCGATTCTTAGAGAGATAAGTTGTTGTATTATGTGAGAGAGTCGAAAAGTCGATCCCTTACCTACCTTAGTAAATGCTCTATTTATAGTACATTGTGGTAAGTGGATATTTAATGCGACAAGACCACTACGTGTGTCAGATACATAGGCCATGCTTTAGGCAATAATTATACCTAGGACTAGGACTAGGATGTGACTCTGCCTTCAGAGGATACGGCGTCGTTCCTCTCGGCTCTTTCTCCCAGTGCGAACTAACCAAAAACGACGACGGTTTGTGCAGGGTGAAACGGTTCGGCTTGGGTAAAGTGAAACGGCGCCGCCTAACGCTTCATTTGCTCGCGGACACGTCTGCACTCGCGGGAGTCTCTAGGTCTTTCTACTCGCGCGGTAGGATCTGAGCCGCATCCCCAACAACACTCATTTACATTAGTTGCACCTTTTCAATCCGCATTCAACAAACCAAAATCACTCAACCTTTTCATATTTACCACTATCTTAAAGACACATGTGCCCCACATTCACTCAAAACTTCTAAGTTCAAAAATATTGTTGCTTTATGGTTAGGGATGGCAATTTCAACCTTACCTACTTTACTCGACCTGTTTTACCTGTTTTGGGGCGGGGCGGGCATGGTTACCTCTCATTGACCCGACCTGCCCTGACCCGCCCCATTCTCGACCCGTTCTTGTCTAAATTACATGTAATCTTAGTCAAATTACTTAGGATTTTTCTTTTATTACCTCATATTTTTGCTATACTAAAGTTGTAAGTAAGTGGAAAACTCAATCTCCAATAATTTAACTACATTTTATCATATTATGGTTTGTCTCTTGGTACTTTAATGAAAATAACAAACATTTCTAATGTTTTTATATAAATTATATACCCATTGGGGGTACCTTCCCTGACCCGTGCCCCATGACAAATTACCCTACTTGGACCCGACCTATCACAGGGCGGGTATGGGTATCGAGATACCCACCCAAGACCTGCCTCCTTGTCATTCCTATTTATGGTAGTTATATTATTTAAGTCTATGTCAAGAATTTAGCATCGGTTCTACACATTCAATACTGCAATTCAATGTGCAATATTTGCACCATATGACATTAGGCTTTCTATTTTAAAATTATTCTGCTTTTATAAGATAAATAGAAATAGAACTAATTATTAAACTTGAATTAAAATAATAAAAGTATGAAAAGAGAAGTATCAAATACCAAAAAAATATTTAGGGGAGAGTTAGTGGTTTAGCTTACTGTGATGGAAAATTCCTATGATTTTTCATATTTAAGCTTCCTGTATGTTTTTAATTTAAAAAGTGTAAAATAATTGTTTAGTGTAACTGGTTATGTTTCTTGTCTTTTCTCAAAGAGATCACAATTCAAATCCCATCACTTATGTAGTTTTCCTGTAAATAAGAAAATAATAAATAATTGTGAAGACGAATCTACCCTTACTACTTTTGCTTTGGATGCAAAGATGTTGTATTGCGAGCAGCACCTTTCCCATTTCACTATTATATTAGGCGTAGCGAAAGTAACCCGGGTGGTTGAGCATTTTGTGGGTCGAGTAGTGTTTTTTCCATCAGCGTTGGGCAAACCAACAACACTCAAGCTTTCCATATTTACCCCTTCAAATATTGCTCTAGCGTAATAATGGAGGTAGAGGAGGTTAGCTGGTTGTTGAGTCTGATGAGAAGTTTGGAGAGACGACGATGGTTGAGCGTTAGTGGGTCGGGGCACTATTTGGGCTCGTTTACATTAGTAATGTATTTTCCATCCGCGTTTGGCAAACCAACATCATTCAACCTTTCCATATTTACTCCTCTCTTAAAGACACATGTGCCACATATACACTCAAAAGTTTTGTGTTTGAAAATATCGTTACTTTATGGTAGTAATAACAATTAAGTCTATGTTAAGAATTCTACATCGCTTCTACACATTCAAAAGTGCAATTTGATATGCAATATTTAAATCAATGACATTTCGGTTGCTAACTGTGGTGGAAAAGTCCTATAATTTTTCACATTTAAGCTTTCTGTATGTTTTTAATTAAAAAAGATCACACAAATGTGTTTATTGTAACTGGTTATGTTTCTTATCTTTGTTTGAAGAGACCACGGTTGAAATCTCATTACTGATATATTTTTATGTAAATAAGAAGATAA